CCACAGGCCAGCCAAATCACAGCTCCACTGGGGGCACCGTCGTGGAGGCCGTCAACCACAAATCCAGCCTGTAGCTGGCAGGTTCCAATCAGTTCCACTGGTTAGGCCACTCCACGACCGATACTAGGATAGCGAGCCCTAGGCAGGAGCCTCGTGTGATCCCACAGATCACTCTCCTCACCACAACACCCCAGTGGTTAGTCTTCTCCACTAGTCAGCCCCGGGTACGACAATCCCTGGTTCTGCCACTTCACAGGCAGGCTAACACAACAGTGTTCATCCGGGGGGTGACTCACAGCTCCAACAGCAAATGCGTGGAGGTTCTACAGCTGCCTTGGGTAGACTGATCCGACTTCCATTACAGCAGTCCCAGGTCGACTCTGTAATCGGACACGTCATCAGTAATAGGGACACTCTAGGGCACCTCACTTACAGGCTTAGACACAAACGCCCACCTATCCACTCCATAGATGGCATTGCTGTCTAAGCTCCACCTCACCAGAGGTCAGCAGCGGCTGTGTTATGAGCTGATCAGGGCGGGAAACTAGCCCTTGTGGCCAGTATTTCTCGTCCTCACTAGATGGCGTCGTCCATTTGGAGGGGGTTTCGGGAGCTGACCCACAGATGGCGTGGTCGTCACTGCTCCGGGCTCGGACGCTGGACTCGGGTCCGTAACACCACGACACACAGAAAACGGCGAAGAGCCGCAACCAAACACCACATGAAGCACCCACGGCCCAAACAACCAAGCCACAACCCAAGGGCCCCAGGGCCCCACTGAGGTTATCTTGAGATGAAACAGCAGAAACAGCCCGTGACCCACCTAATACTGCTAGGTACCCGAAAAGAAGGGGACTGCAGCAAAAGAACAACCTACCACCAGGACCAAAGTAGCAAAAAACACACAAGAACCGAAGGGGCCACAACAACTGAGGAGAAGATAACCCTCCCCCCTCGACCGACGACCAAGACAGCACCGGAAGCACATAAGCAGGCCGGAGGTGAAAAAACAAACCAAACAGCTAGCGGAACGGAGCAGAAGGAACAGCAAGACCAAATGCAAGCAGGAGCGGACCCGCCAGCGCCGCCTGAGACGAGGCAACAGCACTCGGCACCGATTGACAGTCCCGGAACAACCCCGAAGGGAAGGATAAGACAACCCTATCAGAGATCGCAGTACACCTACGCAGTGATAGGAAAACCGGAAGGACCGCCAGGAACTACCCACTGCCTCCGAGACGAAGCACGCAGGCGGGAGACCAACAACGAAGCCACCAGCGCCCACACAAGGGACAAGAACCCAAGACAAAAAACCCCCGAGATGCAAAGACTCGAGGGGAAGAACGAACCAGCTGGGTACAGGGCTGGACCGAACTGCAAGAGAGGCGGAGCCGGTGGAAAACCCGCAGGATCAGACACCGAGCAAAGAAGTGCCCCAACCAAAGCAGGCAAAGAACCAGGGAATAGGAAGAGGCCAACAAGGAAATGAGGACCACGAACCGAAATGCAAAGCGAAAACAGCACCCCTGCAACCTGCATCAGTAGTGCAAGCAGCCCCAGCAGGGAAGAAGGATGCACGCATCACCGAGGTATATATGAGGAGAACTTCCCAGGACATGAACCACACGAAAACAAAAAGAACGTCCCCGAAAGGAACAAAAAACAGGAGCCAGGACCATAAACCTAGCTCCACCCATCCCAACGAAAAGGAATCTTAAGGGTAGGAGTGGGTGAACGGAAGCAACACCCACCTGCAGGCAGTGCAAGCACCTCGCATACCACATACAAAAGACCAAACCCGGAGTATGCGGCCCCAGCATAGAGCCCGGACCCCATTTGGAAAAATGCAGAGGTAAGCCCCGAGGCTAGCCCCAGAGCGAAGAGGCACAAGTTACGAGGACAGGCTGCGGGAATGTAACACACGACATGAAGACAGAAGAGGAAGGGGAGACAAGAACACAACCAAAAAAGTCTCAGAGGAAATAAAAGGGTAGAGAATGATAAACTAGTGAACACGGTGGTACGCAAAGAAGGGGACAAGGAAAGGATCCACCGGGATAGTAGAAAGAACCCTGTCAGTGTCAAAGCAGGCAACAGATGTTAGGCAGTAGCCAGCGGTGTGGCGGAGGCAGACACCAGACTCAGCGCCAAAGGGAGAGATGAAAGAGCCCAAAAGGCTCAGGAATCGGCACACCAGTTGAATGACAGCTGAGAAGCAGGACCAAGGAGTAAGAGCTCAACCCCCGCAAGCAAAACTAAGGGAGGACAACCAAGCGAGGACAAAAACTAGCAGGGATTAGAGAGCACAAAATACAGAGAAAAGATTCAGGCGCCGAAAGACTAAACAAAAGGCACCAAAGACTGAGGTTGCGTCCCACTGTACACTGACAGAGGAAGGTCACGGCAAGACTCACGCAAAGTGGCCAAGCAAAACTCACAACATCCCACACCCCACCAAAATCGAGAACCAGCGCCTGGCCAATAGCATCGCCAGACCGCACAATCTCACCTGCAGAGCGGGGACCGTGGTACAACACAGTCAAGCCGAGTAATAAACTAGGAGCATTGCTAATGGAGCACATCCAGAGATGCGCACCCAGCAGAAGCCGAGGTGCAGGACAGAGGCGGAGGTGGCGCCACGGAACACCAAAACATGTACACCGCCCAAAAACAAAATGATCACCCCGGACCCTGCGCCCGAGGTATGAACCGCACCACCCACCCACTGGTGGCACAGTTCGTACACCAGTCGTATGTACACATATCATACACACAGCAGCAACGAGTATGTAACGAATAAGAGGAATGTCAAGACAGGAAGGAGAGACAAAGGGAATACAAAAAAAAGGCGAAAGGGAATCAAAAGAAAACAAGGAGAATGGAAACGAACTAACGAGTCCGAAAAGGGACTAGAGGGAACCACACCGGAAGTCAACAGACATTCCAATAATATCAGAAGAATCGAAAAATGTCGCGAATCCTCGAGAATCTTACAGAGGCACATACGGGCCCAAAGACACCCTTGACCAAGGAACATGCAGGGAACCTAATACGAAGGGAACATTATCGCACAAAAGTAGGGAAAGGGGGTGAAAGCACCTCCAGGAACGACGGAACCGACGGACCCGAAGGACACGGAACCAAATCCGGGTAGGGGCAGACCAAACCAACAGGAATGCAGAGGGGAAAGGAACAAACCCCCTCAGAGGAACTGCCAGCCCTGCTCCTAGGGGACAAAAACCCCAAGCAGGGCCAAACGGGGCTTAGGCCCCCCAGGCAACCCCTCCCCAACCCTGGGAACCTCCACGGCAAGACCCCCACAAGCCCCGGTCTCAAGAAAAGGCTGGGGCAGCTGTAAAACTCTAAGGAAGGAAGTCCACTGGTCAGACCCTTACACACGGCTGGAGGAACAGGCTCGAAGGCATCTGCTGCCATCCTGGAAGAAGAAAACCCCCGAGACCACCCGAGTGTCAAACACCAACGAAACCCTGCCCCGACCCCGAAACCACAGACATGTCGGAGCCGGAAGGAAAGGGGAGGAATCAACTGCACAACCGAAGGGGAAGGACCAGGAGGGGTGGATGGAACCAGAGCCCCCACCCCCAAGTTCGGGTCCCTATCACCAAAACAGGGCAGTCTCAGGACATCCAGGGCTGCAATTAATTAAGTGCGTTGCAGCAACCTAAACCCAGCCTGCAACGTGGCTGTTGCCTGTACCCGCACATCAGAATGAGTGGTGTGGGAAAACTGGAGTACGAACAGACAACCAACGTCACATGACTCCAGGTCAAGGAACCACCGACTCAACAGGCAGCATGGCGGAGACAAAACCAGTGAGTATCACCCTGAGACAAGGTGACAGAGCAACCATCAAACTCACAGGAAGGGAGAGGGGACTCAAGGTCACCTCCATTGGGCCACAGAGCCCCCATGGGGATTTCCAGGGCCCTTAGCCTTGTGTACACGCTAAGGGAAGCCCAGGCAGGGTACTGCGAACTGGCGCCCTAGTCTACCGAACAATCTGCTAAAAGCTGAACCCCCAGGACGTGTACACTCACGGGGGCCAAGCGGGAGACTCCACCAAGCGAAGAGAAGAACAAGGAGACCCTCCCACTAGGCAGAAAACAAAAACAAAAGAAAAACCCCGCAAGAGGACAATGTATCCAAGCGGAACAGAGCCGGCCACTATAATTGTAGAAGACCCTGGCGCCCCTACCAGTGACGAAAACAACCTCCTACCCAGAGACAAACTCGGGCAAAAAAAAAAAAAGCTGACCCCAAGGGCGGCCCAGTACTGAGCAGTAAAAGACACAGTGGAGGTAGATCCCAAGGTGGCTTGTGGAAGGAGGCCCCAAGCCCCCAAGGGTAGTACTCACAGGGCACCTAGGGAAGGAAACCCTAGGCACATGCAGCCCGAGTACCGTGGAATATCACTCCTGGCTCACACACCACCTGTAGAGACAAGGCACAGAACTGAAACAAAAGTGGAGCCAGAGGCACCCGACTGGCCAGTAAGCCCACCAGCCAAGAACTGCCAGTTGGATAGCCGGCACGGAGGGTCTGGGGCTTCCCCTTCCCCCTCCCGTGGAGGGGGGGGGCTGCGCAAACAGTGGCGCGGCGACGTGATGACATCATGCTAGTTTGCTAATTTTGTTTGGGGAGTTCTGTCCACTCGTTCAGCTTTCGGTAGCGATCTTTTCACCAGAATAGGGTTTTATTTTAGAGCGCCTACCTTTCTGGGTGCCTGTTCTGGTCGATGGCCAACATAGAATGCTCCCAACCTCAAAGGGGGTTTCTATAGGCCATTGCTCCTCATGCCTCTCTGAGGAGGCCAGGTTCTGGCTCATGGTCCTCGGTAGGCAAGAACTTCATGCACTTTGACTGATGCCAGAAAGTTATACATATCCATTCAGCCTGGATAGCTCCAGGGAGCCGTAGGAGCTCCCCCCCAGAAAATTTAATAATATAATAAGTAATATAGAAACAATTATATGACCAACCTTAAGGCCCATATGGCAACACAGCCTGTCTGGATTGCCTGACGAGGATGCCCGGAGTTGTTCCATTTGTAGTTCAAATATACTAGAAGGATGAATGTTACTGCACCTGAAATTTAGAATTGACTACTATCATCAGAATAGTGGACTAATATCATGATTAAGTTTTGCATACATCTTGAAACACACTACAAGTACAGTAGTCTTATTCACACAGTACAAGTTACACAGTCTTCTATTTAGCTAGTACTTATAGTAATGATGAGGAACATAGTACTGTATATATATGATGTCATGTGAATCCCTTGCATAGCAGTGGAACTGCCTTTCTCTTCACCTTCACTGCCTCTGCACTGGAAGTCTACATCTACACCAGCCCAGATGAGTCATCAGTCCTGCCACCTCTCCATACCCCCCAGGGCCTGGCACGGCCTGGTACGACTCGGAGACAAGCCGGGCACCTCTGCTGTAACCGGTAGTTTGCCCCCACAAACAAGCAGTTAGCCACCTTCAACTGGCAGTGGTGCAACTCAACACAAAGGCCCTGCCAGCCACAAATGAGCAGTTTGCTAGTTGACCAAGTGTCCACCCTGCGTTGATACCAGACGAGTTATCACCGCCGGACTATATAAAGGGCGCCGCCTCCCTGGAGAGCCAGTCTCTCTCTTAGTGCTCTTGGAACACCTTGGTGTGTTTCACCCGTCGTCTGACTTCAGCCAACGCCGTGTGTCTGATGCCGTGGTGGTATGGTAGCTGTCTTCAGTACACCAGTACATCTTTTTGCTTTGTACTAGAGTTAAACTTTCGTTTATTTATTTGATATGCTATATAATAATAGCCAAGTATTGTCATGTGTCATTTTTGTTCATTAATATTTCAGTAAATTGTTTTAATTATTTATTTGATGATTTTAATTTGTTTCCACCTGCGACTTACACACTGCAAGGCCAATCGCAGCTTTTTTTTTATTTGTGTGAGGGAGAGCCATACCATCTTGGTTCAGTATAGCTGTGATACCACAACCCGTCACAATGACAAAAGTTAGAAAGTCGAAATCATTATTGAATTTGGACAACCCGGAAAAGATTTTGTATTTATGTTGCAAAGACAACCTAAACTAACCTAACCTAACTTTCCTAGGCCTAATACATGCTATCTGAGGCTTAATATAGAACATATATGTGCTATATTAGGCCTAAGAATATTTAAATCTGTTTAGCTTTATTTTTTTGAACCCTATAAAGTAAAGAGTACCAAATTCTACCAATTGCCTTTTACATCAATGTTTGTACTATGGTGCCCATAGTTACTACAAGAACTATCTAAACAGGAAGATGGGTTGTGGTACATTATCTTTACCCTGTATCCCACCTTTTTATCAGGTGGGGAGGCATGAATTGGCCTCAAGGAAAAAACCCATCACTGAATGTAATGAAATGCTTCTTTCTGGTAGAGCCCTGTGGGCTCTCTGAGGTTGTTTCACTGAGGTGGCTTCCCACTACTGGACCAGATCAGTCATAAGAGTCATATTTGGTCTACCAAGGACCAGAGCTGGAACCTCACAGAGGCACAAGGAGCTGGGGATTGTTGTCATCACCCACACCAGGAATGAATCCATTAAGTCAGATAAGCAATACAGACAACTACAAAGTTCATAGAAAATGACTCCCTGAAGATAACTACCCACAGAAAACAAGGAAGACATGAGACTAAACAGGGAGGAAGAAGGAGGGGGGGGGGGGGGTTAGGTAAAATATGAAAATAAATGAGAATATTTATGAATTTCTAGACATTTTAATTATTTAGAATTTTAATAAGTGTAAATAATTTGGAAAACTGCAATAAAATTGTGATCCACAAACACTGGCAAGAATCATGTGCCACAAAGATGATTTCATCATATCCAGTATTGTTGCATGTTGTGATGATATAGGGAAGTACTGTACTTTTTTTTTTTAATTTGCTGAAGGTGAGGGAGACCTGCTGTTTAATACCAAAATATCTAAATTTGTTCTTTAAACTTTTACAAATGTGTGTACATTTTACTCACTCATGTGGATTTTATCATATCCAGTTGAATCTATTAAAACAAGTGAAGAGCTGATGACTTGTTCAAGATGTCTTCAAAATTTTAAGTTTTATAAAGAAAAAATTCTACTTAACACTTTCGTTCACCGTGCGCACGAGCCCCGCACTACCCCAGGTGGGTTTCATCGTTTCACGGGAGTGCGCGGTAATCCTGAAAAGTGTATACTCTTTTCAACTTTGTCACCTCAATTCTCGTCCAAGGTTTTTCAATTTGGTATCATTGTGTTCGCAATAGACTACAGGACTCTAGACTCTACAGGACTAAAGGCATATAAAGTCCAAAAGCCCGGCGTACCATCCACAACAAACAGAGAAAGTGAGTGCGTGTTACCCGGGAGCACGCAAGAGCGATAAAATGTGTACACTCTTTTCACTTTTGTCACCTCAATTCTCGTCCTAGGTCTTTCATTTTGGTATCACTGTGTTCGCAATAGAATTTTATACAGGAGTATATACATATAATGTCAAAAACCGCAGCACGCTCCACCCACCGACGTGATGAAAGTGGCCCAGAAAGAGAACACTGCGCCACCCTAAGGTCCCTCTCATTACATTAGAGAGCGCGGTAATACTGAAAAGTGTATACTCTTTTTCCACTTTGTCATCTCATTTCTTGTCCTAAGTTTTTCAATTTGGTATCAATGTGTTCGCAAAAGAATTCTCTACAGGACTAAATGCATATAAAGCCCAAAAGCCCAGCAAGAAAGTGAGAAAGTAAGAACGTATTACCCAGAACCACGCAAGAGCAATAAAATGTGTACTCTCTTCACTTTGGACATCTCAATTCTCATCCTAGATCTTTCATTTTGGTAATATTGTGTTCGCAATAGAATTCCCTACAGGAGTATATGCAAATATAAAGTCCAAAAGCCAGGCATACCACCCACAGCAAACAGAGAAAGGGACAGAGTGTAATCTCAGTGAGCGCTTATAAAATGGGTATGCTCTTTTCAACTTTGTTACCTCAATTCTGGTCCTAAGTCTTTCATTTTGGTATCAATATATTTGCAATGAAATTCCCTACATGAGTATATGCATATAATATCCAAAACCACGGCGCGCCCCTCCCGAAGCCACCACCAATTTGCCACCGCCAACGCAATGCTGCGTCATTACCAGAAGTACGTCTAGTAAAAAACGACGCAATGCTGCGTCGTTACCAAGCGAAAGTGTTAAAAGAAGACTCTTTGCAAAGATGTGATTAAATTAAAAGTGTGATTAAATTAAAGCCGAATACAATGACCTGTTGTATTATTCTTCACTTGTCCCAGCAAAACAACAAATTGCTTCAGAAAGATCCTAAACTAATTAACAAAACTATTAACCCTAAGTTATACTGCAATAATGCACTAAACTAACAGAAAAGTCTCTCAGGGATTATAGTATTTGTTTCAAGGATAACCACTAGGAACACCCGGTACTGTTCGGTAATTTCAAACATTCTTACAGCATGCCAGGGATGCGTAAATGTCAGGTTATGATTCTTTATGTACACACAAGCAGAAAGGTTTAAAACACTTTGTACACCAATTGCCCACTGAGCCATCACCACAGAACACCAGTAATGTTGCAGTGAAAAGTGGCATCAGCATTAATAAACCTATTTGTATTCTACAGTGTGAAAGACAAAACCAGCGTTGAATGTTATGAAACACCATTTTCTGGGTGAGTCCTGGAGGCTCCCCGGCAACCCTCCTACCCTCTGGTCGGCAGTTTTCACGTATTTTGATATCCAGCCTTGAAACTGAGGTGTGGATCTCGGTGTGAGGGTCTGGGGCTCCCCCTTCCCCCTCTCGGGAAGGGGGAGCTGCGCAGACGTGCGGTGCGGCTCGTGTGATATCATGCTTGTTTGCTCATTTTTCCTTGGGGAAATTCTGTCCATTTATTTAATTGTTTTTATTGGTTTCACCAGAATAGGGGTTTGTTTAGAGGTGCTTACCTCTCTGGGTGCCTGTCCTGGTCGATGGCAGATATAGAATGTTCCAAAATCACACATGCATTTCTATAGGCCATTGCTCCTCATGCCTCTCTGAGGAGGGCCAGGTTCCTTTCTGTGGTCCCCGGTAGGCCTAGAACTCCACCCACATTGAGTGATGCCAAAAGTTAGGACTATCCCTATCAGCCTGGATAGCTCCGGGGAGCAGTTGGCGCATTCCCCAGAAAATGTCATCCTAGAGAGGCTTTACCTAATAGTCATCATTTGTTAAGTACTTTGTGTGTCAATGGGGGAAAACTACTCCCGTCACATAAATTTCACATAGGGATGGTCGCGGTATTGATGTGGTGATAACACCTCCATGAACAACCATAGTGGTTGAATTTTACCAAAATAAACTAGTGTACTTAGGTGGTATAGTGTATGGAGATACTGTTTACAAAATAAGAAAACCTTAACTGGCTTCCCAAGTCTTACAGCAAAAGGCAAGGCTGTGTCCACATGGTTACCCATCCAGTTACTAACCAGCCCCAACATTGCTTAACCCAAAATGTACATACATTATTCACAGCATCATGGCAATGGCCTCATCCAATAAAAATTATACAAACACAACAAAAACACAATTACATACCTGTAAGATCAAAAAACTTCTCTGTCTTCAGGAGACAAGCAACGACCCCAAGGCCCCACTGGATCAGTAGGTCCAGGAGAGCCAGCCTGGTCACAGTGCCGCTCCCCCAGCACCACTCCCAGGCTTCCTCCAACACAGCCCACATTTTTATGAGCACGTCCGAGTAACTAAACCCGACAAGATTCCTTGACCATCAGGTTACAGCATCCTGATAAGAAACCAGTGATAAGATTATCCTCAATTGTGTACAACTTTATCATCACTGAGGACCAAGGACCATGTAGATTAAACAAAAAAATGACTACTCCAGTCCAAACCTGCATTATGGATAATTTTAGCTGTACAATAACTTATAGCTTTAACTATATAAAATATGCAACTTTAATACTGATTATTATTAAAGATTAAATCAGAAATAAGATAACCTATTTGCTGCTCTTGATTACACAGTGATGAGGTGGTGAGACAGACTAAGTTTATCTAAGTTAGTAACAGATACTAATGCAGCATCTCCTTTATAGTCAGATTTTGTAGGTGAATTAATTTACATTTCCCATGTGAAAAGCTAGTTTTTTTTTTTTTTAAGCTACCATTTGTAGACTTTTAAATGTTTAAATTTTTAGTATTGTCACCGATGCAAAACACTGGACAAAGGATTATGGGGATTACAAAGGAGTGGTGAAATTGTTACCCGGTATCGGTGACGGGACGACGCACGGCGCTTTGAAAGTTTATACTTATTTTACGTCACTTTGTCTAAAAAAAGTGAGGTTTATACTTGTTGAAACATGATATGGGGGAAGCATTACCAGTATAAACGGCTAAAGTCACCCACCTGCAACCCATTTAAATACTGTATTTATATACTGTATAGCAATACAATGAATAAAAAATCAAGCATTCAATGTAATGAAACACCCTTTTATGGTGGAACCCCGCTAGCAAATTTGTGAACAGTACTGTGATTTGTGGATTTGTACTCGCTGGACTTGTGAGCGCCTTGAAGGACCTGAGGTAGAGGGTAGAAACAGCCTAGCTACTTTATCCTTTTGAGATGTATCATTGTCTCAAGAAACGTACTCAAACTTGAACCCCAGTAGCTCCCAAAGCTTAAGCACTGTAATGCCAAGTTTTAGTTAATCCCACCAAGCTTCTTGAGACCCATCCTTGCCTACCAGAAGCTATGACCAAAATTTGGCTCACACTGAGGAAAGGGGAGCTATTTGATCAGAAATTGACCCAAAATGGGAAAAAAACACCAGAAAGCACAGCTGCAACAAAACAAGCATTTACTCAAAGAAAATACCACCCAGGTAAACAAAGCACACGATTGTTGCCTTGGGGTAACTTCCCCTAACTGTACTGGTCCTGATCACCACCAGATGGCAGCCAAGGTAACCCAAGGTATCAGCTAATCTGCTTCCTCTCACTATAACACATGTCAAACCACTTAGGCTGGATGGTAGAGTGACGGTCTCACTTCATGCAGGTCAGCATTCAATCCCCAACCGTCCAAGTGGTTGGGCAACATTCCTTCCTCCCCATCCCATCACAAATTCTTATCCTGACTCCTTCCCAGTGCTACAGTATATAGTTGTAATGGCTTGGCACTTTCCCCTGATAGTTCCCTTCCCTTCCCTTCACTCTGACACAAGGAGCTACTGGGAGCCCACCAGAAAAGGGCATTTCATTGCACTTAATTTGTGCAATCACAAATCCTTGACTTGTGAGCTTACTCACAACAAGGGCACCTGACAGCTGAGTGGACAGCGCTTCAGATTCACAGTCCTGAGGTTCCGGGTTCGATCCCTGGTGGAGGCAGAGACAAATGGGCAAAATGTTTCTTTCGCCCTGATGCCCCTGTTACCTAGCAGTAAATAGGTACCTGGGAGTTAGACAGCTGCTACGGCCTGCTTCCTGGGGGATGTGTAACAAAAAGGAGGACTGGTCGAGGACCGGACAGCAGGGACGCTAAGCCCTGAAATCACCTCAAGATAACCTCAAGATAACAGTGCATCTGCAGATGAGGTTGGCACTTCTGAAATACAAAAAAGATAGACTTGGTTTACCCATGGGAGAAAAACTGCTGGAGAGGAGGAGTCCGAGACAAAGAACATACACAAAACACTCAAGAGCAACACAAATGCAGTGAGGTAGATAAACATTCAAGAAGGAATGAATGGTCAACATCAGTAGGACCACGAATAGAATGGCAAGGAAAACTGTCAAAGCAGCCAGTCTTAGAGCAAGAAAAACTGAAAAACTCAGGCTGCCTGAGACAAACCCCCATGCAGACACAAGTGAGGTTAGGCTTATAATAAGGGATGAGAGAATTAGGAAGGGAGATAAACAGAGCTGTGAGCCCAAAAGCCACAGAGCAGAGTACATGATGAACCCCCAAGCTGGAGAGATTAAGCAGCTAGGACAAGAGGACTCTACTAGGAGATAGAAGGCACATTTATAGTCAAGAATAGGGAAAGGTGAAGGTGAAGAAAACTAACCCAGGCACAAATTCCCTTTACATTCAGCAAAGAGTAGGAACCTCTCCTCTTTTATCAGACTGAAAAGAAGCTAAGGGGAAAAAACTAACACATGATTCAAGTACCAAAAAGTTCTAGAGGAACATTAACTGACTGGAGAAGGAAGAAAAATGCCCTGCCAAGGCTGAATGACATGTGACAATAATATAGGCAATAACAGGAGAATCAAGAAAAGTTAGTTAGACAACACCAATACAGACACCAAATGGAAAAATAAATGAAAGGCTCACTAAGCTACAACACAGTACAGCTGTCAAGATAGATACCAACATTGCACCAAAAAGAACACCATTTGATTCCAACACAAGAGACGGGTCACAAGGGCATGAAACTACAAATGAAGGTCTGCAGTGAGCCACGAACCATCGAGGCAGAGTACACCACCAATCCTCAGGGAGAGGAAGAGCTCTCGGAAAAGAAGGGTCGGGGCAATGGGCCAGAAGAACTAGGGCAGAACCCACTACATGAGAACTCACAGGAGAACATAACCAGCAAATGGCCCAACTCGGTCAACATAGGAAGCAGCAGCTGGATTAGGGAGAAAGAAAAAGATCAGCCCATCACCCACAGGCTTGGACCATAGGGAGGCTTACCCACATTCGCCTGAACAGTAACCCCCCTTCCCTCTCCCCACCCCTCTCCACCAGGCCAGCATTTAACCCACAAACTTCAACACAAGATAAACAAATTTTCATTCTTTAAGATTTGTGCAGTTTGCTTGAAGGTTGTCTTCTCTTGATTGCATGAGTGGTGTTGAAAGATGTGGTGTCAATGCTGAGAGTTAAGCAAGGCTCACATATTGTTTCTTAGAGTTAGTTCATGTGATGACCTAACAGTGACATAAATGAATGTTGTGTTTATGAAATCAGGTGATCACTTCCATTGCTATCGAGGTGTTGAGGTTTTCTATGGTTAGTAATCAGGGTAATTTCAACTTTATGCATTGCTCAAATCTGTCCTAACTTTTTGGTAGAATGAGATATTTACTCAGTGAATTAAATAGCTGTGTGCCACTGTTCTCAGCAGGTATCAATGCTGTGGGGCAAACTTTTGGCAACTCTAAACTACTCCCACAAGAACAGATTGAAAGACTATTTTGCCGACAGCCAGTGACCCCATGGCAAAAATACAAGTCCAGGCAAACAAAATAATTGTCATCTTCCAGCAAGTCAAATGCCCGTATCCCAAGAGCACACCATGAGGGGTAGCAATAGTCAAATCATACACAGGTGGTTCGACAAAACATACTATATTGCTTAATTGTAAGCACTGTTTATAACATTAGGTTATGCTAGTAAGCTCAGCTTTGCAATAGTTAGGTTTCAAAATTTGTTTGCAAATCATCTTAGGTACAAAGCAATTTTATCCCATCAGGAACCCTCTAAAGATCAGGCACTTCCCCTCCCTGTCCAAATGGTAAACTACAACAAAGTTAATAATTCAATTATTAAATTTTGTTGTAGTAGTTTTATGTCATCTCTACTATTTAAACAAGTACACAGTTCAATAATACACAGGATATAAATTCATTAGCAACAACTTCTTTTCCAAAACTTTAAGCCTCTACAACACTCACTGTCCTCTCCTCACCAAGCAAGTAACTGGCAAAAGATTAAACAACCTCTGGCTCATAAGTAGCATACTCAAAGCAGTCAATAAGAAACATGAATATGAAAAAAAAATTAGGATTCACCTAGTTACAACAGTAGTAGTAAAGCGATACTGTACTCGTCAATGCTTACCAGTATAATAAGAGCAAAACTTTCCTATTTTGAGCATAGATTAAAAGAAGCAAAAGGAAACATGAAAAGCACATGGAAAACTATCTCTAACATCCTAGGATCTAAACAGTAATCACATAACAAGCAGACAAAACTCTCCAAGGATGGTTATACACCTGCAACAGATTTAGAAACGGCAAAAGAATTTAATAGCTTCTTTTCATCAGTTGGTGCTAACCTAGCCAGAAAAATCCCACAGACCCAGACACATATTACTACATATCTTACAGGCAGCTATCCAAATTCTCTTCTCCTTTTACCAGTCAACCCGACAGATGTTATGTCTATTATTCACTCACTAAAAACCAAAGCTGGGAACATTAGTGAAATACCATCTATGGTAAACAAGAGTGCCTCCCATGCCCTTGCACTACCCATAGCTCTGCTGTTCAACAAATATCTAGTGTCTTACCTTCCCTGATATCCTTATAAAAGCACGAGTAATGCCAGTCCATAAAGGAAGAGATATGGCAGACAAACAATTACTGTATAGACCAAATCAAAAATATTTGAAAAAAATTATTTATAAACAGATCTACTCCTACCTCGTAAAATTCAACATACTAAGTCCCTGTCAGTTTGGCTTCTGCTCCCAAAAAAAGTACCAATGATGCAATTATTTGTATCAACAATGCAACACCAGAAATAAATATATCTTTGATATCCCCAGTCAAACTAAATCTGTGTAAATACTATGCAAATAAAGGTCCTAGTCTATGGAAGTCACTCCCTAACAAATTAAAATGCTGTTCAACCTACCCCTTATTAAAAAATAACACCAAAAAGTATCCAATTTCATCCTCATAGTTTTCTACCTGGTGCTTCACACTCGCACTGTATCGTGTGCTACCCCAAAATATGTGCCTAAGTCTTATAACTTCACCGTTGTAATCACTGCCATCATCTTATATCATGGTTATGTTGAAAGCAAATTTTTCTACAATGTACCTAGAAATAATCTTCAAATTTTACTAAAATGTACCTACTAATTTTTTTTTACAAATGTACAGTACCTGTACATTTGTAAAAAGCCGGTCGGGGCGGGGAGTCAGTCGGCCGAGCGGACAGAACACTGGACTTGTGATCCTGTGGTCCTGGGTTCGATCCCAGGCGCTGGCGAGAAACAATGGGCAGAGTTTCTTTCACCCTATGCCCCTGTTACCTAGCAGTAAAATAGGTACCTGGGTGTTAGTCAGCTGTCACGGGCTGCTTCCTAGGGGTGGAGGCCTGGTCGGGGACCGGGCCGTGGGGACACTAAAAAAAAAAAACCCGAAATCATCTCAAGATAACCTGTTAACTTTTTTCACTTTTGATACAAATTACTTACTGTACTTAAAATTATCTGTTAGATTAAGGACCTGCCCAAAATGCTATGCATGTTAGTGGTTTCACAAGAATGTAAAAACATCGATGTTATGTACTCTCAAACCCATTGTACCTTCTTGTATATATATAAATAAATAAATTAATAAAGTTTAGCCTAACCTCTCCTAACCTGGATACAAGTATAATATATGCATTTCTGGTTGACTACATTCAAAGAGTATGGTGTTATGTTTAACTTGCCACCACTGGTCTTTAATACAGTTAGGTAACAGCAGTCAGATGATATGTAATGATTGGTCAAGATGAGGATGCATGTTATGTACTGTTGAGAGAGGCAGATGGGACGTAGTGGTGACGTTGGCCAGAATCAGAGCTGTTATGAGGCCCGAGCTAAAAGTGTTTGAACAAGACCAGGGGTAGAGAGCTCAAAGGAGAGTGAGGATGGAAAGCTCAAACGAGGGTAGAGAGAGCAGGTAACTCGGATAAGGTCAAGATTGGCTGTCTGCTCTGTAGTGTGGCTCGTAGTGTGTGGTATGAGAGTTGGAACTGGACTCTTCGTGTATTGCGTCACATACCGATGAATATCGATGGTGTTGGAGAAGATCCTCAGCATATCCTGGGTGTTTGTCACTGAATCACTGGTAGTGAGTTAGACTGACACTACATCCCTGACTGGCTTATATCCACCCTTCACCTGACCTGTTTCCTGGCCCAACCTGCTGTAAACCAGCTTGCTGGTTATTGGAACTTCTTGAGAACATGTATTAAATTACAGAGGTCATTAATGGTTAGTGAATATGACTGCAGGTGTCAATAGTGATAATGGAGATAAGTAAGTGGCACATTAGAGATAATGTGGCTTGTTACAAAAGTCATACCATACAAAAGATTGTTTGCTAACGGATTATTAAACCAACCTAAACTAAAGAGGAGCCGGTCGATAGAGCGGACAGCACGCTGGACTTGTGATCCTGTGGTCCTGGGTTCGATCCCGGGCGCCGACGAGAAACAATGGGCAGAGTTTCTTTCACCCTATGCCCCTGTTACCTAGCTGTAAAATAGGTACCTGGGTGTTAGTCAGCTGTCACGAGCTGCTTCCTGGGGGTGGAGGCCTGATCGAGAACAGGGCCGCAGGGACACTAAAGCCCCGAAATCATCTATTTATTTATTTATTTATTTATTTATGCATATACAAGAATGTACATAAGGAATGTGAGGATACAAATATGGTAATTACAGTCTTGTAAAGCCACTAGCACGCGCAGCGTTTCGGGCAGGTCCTTAATCTAAGAAAATTTTAAGGAGGTAAATACTTGCAAAATTTATAGACAAAAAAATGATAACAGATTACATGAAATGAAAAAAAAGAAGATGAGAGAAAATTGTAGGTACAGTATATTAAAGCACATAGGTAGCTATGATTGATTGCAATGACAGCTTGAATGGTAGTTGACAAAAATTGGTAGTCACAATACAGCATATGGCTAGCACATAAAAGAAGACAGCAATGAACACAATGATAAGGTTGTTTGATATTACATAAAAATTAGGAGATTGGGTAACACTAGGTACAGAGCAAATTTAAAGCTGTGTAGGAAACTAAGATGATGAAGTTAGGTACTTTTTGGTTTTGCTTTTAAATAAAGCAAAAGTTTTACAGTTTTTCAATTCACTAGGGAGTGAGTTCCATAGACTAGGTCCCTTATCTCAAGATAACCTCAAGATATATTCGTCAAACTAACCGAGACCAAGCCTACACTAATATATCCAAAACTGACACTACACTATATAGTTTGACAATCTAAATGAGCTTTGTCTAACATTCTTGTGTACGATTTGACCTTAACTCAAACCTAACCCTAATGAAAATACGATAAAATGTTATAATATATATTAGTGTGACATCACTAAGATGTCATAATTTTATTGCCAATACAGGTTTGGGATCCTACTGGTTACTGCTCATCGCAACGCTCTGGGCTAAAATTGCATGTTTTTTTTTTTTATTTATGTTAACAGAGCCTTTGGCGGAGCAATACGTCCTCCCTGCTGACATAAAGTGGTGTTGGTGTAGGGGCGACGACGAGGGTGGGATCGTGCGCGTCCTCCCTCCGTCAAGTGTCAGCCACGACTGGCTTGTTTACGTTCCTTGAACGCTTACACTCTCTCCGTGTACCTGTCATAATAATAGTCACCGCAGCCAGTAGTCTAATAGTCACAGCACTGAGTAATATAATAGTCACACTACAGTACTGAGTAGTCTAATAGTCACAGTACAGTACTGAGTAGTCTAATAGTAATAAGAGTTAGGAAAATACTATCTATCAGATATAAATGCTGTTCTCAAAAGATTTCCCTATTTTACACCCGCAAGATAACGTAAGAGTTATCCCGAATCCTGCCCGAAACGCTTTGCGTAATAGTGGCTTTAGGCATTGTATGTACTAGCTCTATCTATAAAGCCAACAAACTTTGTAAAATCTCTTTATGTATGTACCTTTGCCTAAATAAAAATTATTATAAATTATTATAGTTTAAGAGTTGACATATGTTAATTTTCTTGTTTGAGAAGCTGTTCACTTGAGACTGTTAAGCAAGTCCCAGCTGTGTCTGGGTACAAGTAACAGGATGAACAACACAGCGAGTTTTCTTCCTATTGGGGAGTGTTGTACATACTGCTATGTACCACACACACACACCAATTCACAGGATAATTGGCGCTGCCCAATAAACTCGCCCCTCTGGGCAACCTGCTTGATGGGGTTCTGGAAGTTCTCTGTTTCCAGACAACACACAGCCCCATGTTTAAATCCCTAAACATGCTACACATAAACTCACTCCACATATTCTCTTGTGACATTTACATGTACAAAACCGTGTTCCTAAATGCAAATCCCGATCTGAAACTCTTAATGGACAAATGTAATAGAACCCATAATTACCACACCAGAAATAAATATATCTTTGATATCCCCAGAGTCAAACTAAATCTGTGTAAACACTCTATGCAAATAAAGGGACCTAGTCTATGGAACTTACTCCCTAACGAATTGAAAAGCAAACCCCACACCCCTACACGCACACCCACACACGCACCCCCCCCCCCTCCCACACCCACAAACACGCACCCCCCACCCCCCAACACACACACACACACGCACCCCCCCCCCCACACACACACAAGCACCCCCACACCATAATCAATGAAATGCAGATGAGAAACCCATGGTTTAATCAGATTTGTAAGCTAGCTAAGCAACAAAGTAAAAAAACATGGAGAAACTATAGAAATAACAGGACACTTGAGAGCAGAGAAGGTTACTAGAGAGCCAGGAATTAATACGTCAGGGTGAGAAGAGAGGCAGAAGGGCAATATGAAAACGACATAGCAAGCAAGGCTAAGACCCAACCCAAATTGCTGCACAGCCACATCAGGAGAAAGACGACAGTAAAGGAACAGGCAATGAAACTGAGGATAGGGGCAGACAGATTCACTACAAACGACAAAAGTGTGCGAGGAACTCAATAAAAAATTCCAGGAAGTCTTCACATTAGAGTAAGAAGAAGTTCCAGAGATAAGAGAAGGAATAATTAACCAGGCACCACTAGAGGGATATGAGATTACCAGTGGGGATGTAAGGAAGCTTTTGCTAGAGTTGGATGTGACAAAGGCTATAGGCCCAGATGGAATATCACCATGGATACTAAAGGAAGGAGCAGAAACACTGTGCCTGCCACTCTCTACGGTGTATAACAAATTACTGGTAACAGGTGAACTGCCAAAAGTTTGGAAGGCGGCAAACATAGTCCCGATATACAAGAAGGGGGATAGACTGGAGGCACTGATCTACAGGCCAGTGTCCCTAACTTGCATACCATGCAAGCTAATGGAGAAAATTGGGCGAAAAAAGCTAGTCTAAAATAAATAGAAGAGCCAAAATATAATACTACGAAAATAAATTTACCCAAATTAAGGGCAAGATTAAGAAAACATGGAGCACTATCTCCCAAATATTAGGATCAAAAATGATTTTGAATAAAAAACCAATTCTCCTATCTAATGACAATGGTGTGCTTTCAGCCTCAAACACTGCTATTGAATTCAATAGTTTTTTTTCATCCATTGGGACATCCCTTGTTCATGATATTCCATCCTCACTCAATAATACTAAAGACTACCTTACAGGTAACTATCCAGAGTCTCTGTACCTAGCTCCTGCTAATTCCTCTGATGTTAATGACGTAATCCTTTCCCTTAAAACTAAGTCAAGCGCCCTGGATGAGATACCATCCCTAATTTACAAAAGAGCCTCCAAATTTCTTGCTCCTGCCATTGCATTGCTCTTCAACTAATCACTTGAACTCCAAACCTTTCTGGATATTCTAAAAAAAAAAACGAGAGTAACCCCCTGTCCACAAATGCGGCGATCTCACTGATGTCAACAACTTCAGAACTATCTCAATTCTGCCAACCTTGTCAAAAATATTTGAAAAGCTAATCTACAAGCAGCTTTACTCATATCTAGCCAAACTCAATATATTTAGCTCTTGCCAATATGGTTTCAGACCCAATAAAAGCACTAACGATGCACTTATTAGTATGATTAACTTGATACATACAGCTCTTGATAAAAATGAGTTCCCTGTTGGGTTATTTGCAGACCTACGTAAGGCTTTTGATCAATATCCCTGCAATATCTTCAGTCTTATCTTACTGACAGGCTCCAGTATGTTTCTGTGAATAATTCCATTTCTCCTACACTACCCATAAACATTGGTGTCACACAGGGCAGCATACTTGACCCTCTCCTCTTTCTCATCTACATTAATGACCTTCCAAATGCCTCTCAACATCTCAAACCAATCTTATTTGCTGATGACACAACTTTTATTTTCTCCAGTCCTGACCCCTCTTGCTCTAAATTTATTTATTTATTTATTTATGCATATACAAGAATGTACATAAGGAATGTGAGGATACAAATATGGTAATTACAGTCTTGTAAAGCCACTAGCACGCGCAGCGTTTCGGGCAGCGCACTGTGTCACTGTGAATACGGAACTAAATAAAGTCCATCTTTGGCCAACTGCTAACAAACTCACCCTTAACATTGACAAAACTTTCTATATTTTGTTTGGTAATAAATCCTCAAATGAAATTAATCTAAGAATATACAATATACAAATCAGTAGTGCGAACAAGCCTGAATGGTTCCGTCTCCATCAGTAGTAAAGTTGATGGTATATTCCTTGGTGTCCTCATCGATAACAAGATGAATTTCCAGGGACACATTCTAAATATAGCAAAAAAAGTTTCTAAAACTGTTGGCATTCTTTCTAAGATCAGATATTATGTTCCACGCCCTGCCCTGGTGAAGCTCTATTACTCCCTCATCTATCCTTATCACAACTATGGTATTTGTGCTTGGGGTTCTACTACCCAAAATCATTTACGTTCTCTAATTACCCAACACAAAGCTTCTATTAGAACAATATCTAACTCTGGCCCCAGACAGTACTCGGTACCCTTACTCAAATCTCTGAATGTGTTAGATATTAAGTCACTGCACATCCTCTCATGTGTACTCTATATATTTAAAACTCTGAATTGTAATGTCAATCCTGACCTTAAAAACTTCCTAGAAGTTTGTAACAGAACTCATGAGCACCACACCAGAAACAAATTCCTATTTGATATTCCAAGAGTACGACCTAATCAAACTAGAAATGCTCTACAAATCAAGGGACCCAGAATGTGGAATGAACCTTCCCAATCATGTCAAAGACTGTACCTCTCTCAACCAATTTAAGATGAAAACTAAGTTCTACTTAATTAACTCCGTGTAACCTACCTTACCCCCTAAATGTCAACCCATGTCTTACTATTTTTAAACAATGCTGTTTGTTGACCAACTTGTATATTGGCTATTTTCTACCATGTTCCCCCTTTTTATCTTTTATTTTTTTCTTTCAACGCAATTTATACTTAATCAATTACTATTAAGCTCAATTACTATTAAGTTTTAGTCTAAGTGTTTTTTTCTCCACCTCACCTTGCCCGAAACGCTTTGCGTACTAGTGGCTTTAGGTATTATATGTACTACCTCTATCTTTAAATCCAACATTATGTTTTTAACTAATCCTCTATGTATGTACCTGAATAAACATTTGATTTGATTTGATTTGATTTGATTTGATTTGATTAGTGGAACATCTCGGGCGAAAGAACTTTGTGACACAACACCAACATGGTTTCAGGGATGGCAAGTCATGCCTCTCAGGATAAATTGAATTCTACGATCAGGCAACAAGAATCAGACAAGAAAGAGAGGGGATGGCAGACTGCATATTTTTGGATTGCCAGAAAGCCTTTGACACAGTGCCACACAAGAGACTGGTGCGAGCTGGAGATGCAAGCAGGAGTGAAAGGGAAGGTACTCCATTGGATAAGGGAGTACCTAAGCAAAATAAGACAGCGAGTCACTGTGAAGGGTGAGGCCTCAGATTGGCGAGATGTCACCAGTGGGGTTCCGCAGGGTTCAGTCCTTGGACCCATACTGTTTCTTATAGATGTAAATGATATTCCAAATGGTATAGAATCATTCCTCTCATTGTTTGTGATGATGCAAAAATTATGAGGAGGATTAAGACGGAGGAAGACAGTATGAGACTACAAGATGACCTTGACAGACTGAATGAATGGTCCAACAAATGGCTATTAAAGTTCAACCCGAGTAAATGTAAGGTAATGAAACTAGGCAGTGGAAACAGAAGGTCAGACACAGGATGCTGAATGGAAAATGAAGTACTTCATGAAACGGACAGAAAGATCTAGGAGTTGATATCACACCAAACCTGTCTCCTGAAGCCCACATAAAAATAATTACATCTGCGGCATATGCAAGGCTGGCAAACATCAGAACAGCCTTCAGGAACCTGTGTAAGGAATCATTCGGAACCTTATATACACCACATATGTAAGACCAATCCTGGAGTATGCGGCTCCAGCATGGACCCCGTACCTTGTCAAGCACAAGACGAAAGCTGGAAAAAGTTCAGAGATATGCCACTAGGCATGAGTTACCAGAACTAAGAGGCATGAGTTACTTTATTCATTTATTTTATTTATGGCCACTGCTTTACATGGGACAGCGGAGGAATTTCTGATGGGGAAACGAGACACTTGTGCAGCATGTTCCGCAGGCGCTGTGCAGGCAGTACAGGGCGGCATATACAAGGAAATGGAAGAGGGGGTCCTGCCCTCACTCTTGCTCCTGCCACGGCCCGCTTCACACGAAATGCCCGGCCTCCTCCCTTAACAGGCTGTAGTGCTCTTAACTCCGCTCCTGCCTTGTGTCACTTGTTTTTCCTGTCTTTACTCCCTGGCTTGATTGAGGGGGGGGGGGTGCAGCGCCGGTCCCCAAGTGTTCCGCTGTCCACAGCTACTTACTTTGTCAAGAGCTCCCTTGTAGTAAATGGCCACTGCCTTTAGGACGAAAGGCGGTGGAGTTTCTGATGGGGAAGGAAGAGACAATTGCGCGCCGCGTTTCGCAAGGCGCGGTGCAGACAGTCTGGGTGGCATAAATAGCGCGGGAAGTGAGGTCTCGCTCTCACTCCATTTCCCGACATGGTCCGCGATTCACGAAGCGGCTCCACGCTCAGCGCCGCGCCTCATCGACACGTGGGCCAGTACTCTATACTGCATCTCCAGTCTCCTTTACTGTGTACACGAGATTTCTCAAGCAAATGGACCCCTTCCCCGCTACTATGGTCCCAGATCTGACGTTCTCTGATCCTTTGGGGCCTTCGACATCCCAGGCCGTTACGGCAGGGGCCCCCTGCCCTACTCAGCAAACCTTAAGGTAAGAGAGTTTCCTGTTCAAGTTAGTCAGGACTATCCCAAGTGCTGGCGTGTGATTGCGCCGTCCCTCGCGGTCCGTTTGTGCCGCCTTAGCTAGTTCCCTTGGGCCTTCCGCCTTTGCCTGCCTGGGGTTGCAGGTGCGCCTCCAGGTCGGGACTGGTGTGCTGGTTATCTGCGGCGACTCCACGTGGCCAGGTTTCGGTGGTCCTGTCCCCCTGGGTCCCCGGCCCTAATGCATGCTCGGTGGAGCATTCGTCCCAGGTGTGCCCTCCCAGGCGTTTGTCTGGAGCCCGGTTTGCTGTGCCCCTAGGGGCCATGTTTCGCCCGCGCCTGGACGTGCGGGCACAGCCAGGCTCCCTACTATGGTCTGGCATCGCCCTCTGTGGCGACGCCACGTGGCTGGTTTCTGTGGACCTGAGCCCTGGGGACCAAGCCCGGTAGGTGGCGCCCACGTGGCTTGGAGCTCAGTGGAGCTGTTATAAAATTGATGGTGCTGCTATGGGGGATCTAATACTAAATGGAAGTAGGGGCAGTAGTTAGCATTAAGAGTTATCAAATATGGGAGATCTCAAAGGCCCGGCCCCCACTATATAGAAATATATAGAAATAAACTTGTAGTGGCTTATTACAGCAATAGTCAGCCTAGAGGTTGATCATGGATCTCCTACACAGGAAAAATGGATACTCCTTTACTAACTTACTTATTTATTAACCCCTTAACAACCCCCCATATACATTCACACCAATAACAACAATAATAATTACTTTACCACACTATCTTACGTTAAAAGCCTTGGTCCACTTAAGCAGGATACAAGGTTTACACTCAGAACAAGCTAGGGTAAAGTACTACTAGTGAAGAGCTAGAGGCTTGAGTCAGCTTAGGGTAGGGAGACCACGTGGTTCCACTGGGACCCCTTTTAGAATAACTGGTAATACAAACACTAGGAACACCTAATTCATACTAAGTATAATACTCTACACATTAGAACACGCCTATGCCTGACAATGAGAACGTTACACAGTATACTTAGCTGGGTATCAGCCCACAGAAATAAAGAAACGAGAGGAGGGAGAGAAGGTTCCTTTCACCACAGCCAGCCAGCAGAGAAGAGAGAGCCTCTCGCATCTCCTTCCCAGCTCACTCGCTGCCAGTAGACTGCTCAACTAATCGTACAGCAATCCTATCCCAAGTTTACTCAGATTTACTTTACACTTCATTAGAAAGTATTAGTAAACATAGTTGTTGCCTATTTTATTATTTAATAATCAACCCCCAGCTCAGTCTTTAAATGCTCTGTGAGAAACAAGAATAGTCTTACGTCTGGCAGGGAAGATACAAACAACTGCATCTCGTGATGCGTTTCCACTACTATAAGGTAGTCTATTTAGCTCAATATTGACCTCCGGTTTCCACTGAGGAACCCAGGGTCGTAACACTCCTCCCCCCTTCAGAGAAAAAAAATAATGTGACTACTAGAATAGTAGTCATATTTTTTTTGTAAGAGTATACAGAGAATAAAAAGGAAAATTTATGACATAAAAGAAAAAACAATCAAAAACAACAATTTCTCTGCAAGAAAAGTACAAAGGAATTCTCTGAAAGAAAAAAAAACACATACACAAAAAAAAAAAAAAAACAGGGAAGTAAATAAATTGGACACGGAATATTTAATGTCACAGGGGAACCTAAAAAAATATAACTAAAGCATGACAGTTGGTAAATGGCTTCCTGTGGCCCAGATGAATGTTATTCAGGCAACCGGGACAGAGCATCGGTTATCACGTTGAGCTGGCCCGGTAGGTGGATAATAGACAGATTGAAGTCCTGTAGGTACAATGCCCACCTGAGGATGCGTTTATTCTTACCCTTCATCTGAGTCAGGAAGACTAGTGGGTTATGGTCCGTGTACACTTCCACTATATTACCTGTGAGGTAAACTTCGAACTTTTTACATGTTAACACTAGCGCCAACGCCTCTTTTTCTACCACTGAATAATTGTGTTGCGCTTTGTCAAATTTCACAGAGTAATAATATACTGGGTGTTCCACCTGATCATCCCCAGTTTGCAACAACACTGCACCAGCACCCGAGTCAGACGCGTCAACATGAATTTTAAACGGTTGGTCGAACCTTGGACTAGCAAGCACTGGGGCGGAAGCTAAGATCAATTTCAAATTTTTAAATGCCTCTGCACAGTCTGGTCACCACTTAAATTTAACGGCCTTCCGCAACAAGTCTGTGAGAGGAGTGGCAACACTGGAAAAGTTCTGACAAAAGCGTTGATAGTACGCACACATACCGATAAATCGTTGAATGTCCTTTTTAGACTGAAGCGCGGGATACTCCAGAATGGCACTGATTTTATCTTGCCGAGGTAACACTTTTCCTTGGCCCACTTCATAACCGAGGTACGTCACTGTGCCTTGGCCAAAATGACATTTTTTGCATTTAAGGTAAGATTTGCCTTTTTCAAGATTGCGAACAACTGGCGTAACCTAGCTATGTGGTCAGCCCAATTACTATCAAAGAGCACAATATCATCTAAATACGCTCGACAATTTGGCACATTAGCGAGCAAAGAGTTCATTAGCCTCTGGAACGTGGCAGGGGCATTACGCAAGCCGAACGGTGACACTTGATACTCAAAAATACCCTCAGGTGTCACAAACGCAGTTAGTTGTTTAGCACATTCCGTGAGCGGGATTTGATAATACCCCCTCGAGAGATCAAATTTCGAGACGTACTTGGCGTTTCCCAGCTCGTCGATGCAGTCCTCGAGGAGGGGCAGCGGGTAGGCATCCACAATGGTCACCTTGTTGAGCTGCCGATAGTCAGTGCATAATTGCCAGGAGCCGTCTAGTTTGGGGACCAAAAGGCAAGGCGAGCACCAAGAGCCCTGGCTCGGCGGATGAGGCCATGCTGGAGCAAGAAGTCGACCTCCTTCCGTACGATGGCCTCTTTTCTGGACTCATCCGATAGGGTTGAAGGCGAATGGGGTTGTAGTCCGTCAACTTGACATCATGGCAAATGGCATCAGTCTGGGTCGGGACCTCCCCGAACAGACTGGAGAATTCATCAAGCAACGACTGCACCTCTTCATGTTGGGCCATCTGCAAATGGGACAGTCCCTCCTTCACAGCATTCACATAACTAGAATTATTGAGAATGAGATTAGTTGGGTCCCCAGAACAATCATCCCCTCCCTCACTGGAAATGGAAACATTGGTTAGTGCAATGGGCCTGGGGCCCTGGAACTTTTTCAGCCGATTTACGTGTACGAGCATTACCTGGTTACGCTTGTCAGAGTGCCTCACTTTGTACGTGAGGTCTCCAGTCTTTTCTGTTACAATGTAGGGGCCTTCGTACTTGTGGGACATAGTGTTCCCTAGTCGAAGCTTTAATACCAGGACAGGGTAGCCAGGCTGAAATACCCGCCACTTAGCCGTAGCATCGTTTCGTTCTTTCATCTTTTCTTGGGCCTTCCCAAGATACTTTAGTGCCGCTGCCTTGCAGTCCTTGAATCTCTGGTGGTGTTGCGCAAAGAAAGCCGAACCTTTGGTTAACGTTACGTTCCCTAACAGATTCTCCTGTAACATTTGCAAGGGTCCACGAACTTTATGGCCAAAGACTAACTCAAAAGGAGAACAACCCAGTGAACTTTGTAATCCCTCTCTAGCCGCAAACAAAACATATGATAAATTCTCACCCCAGAAGGTGTGGGAACTCTCGCACGATGTCTTCAACATCTGCTTCAGAGTTAGATGGAAACGTTCAATTACCCCTGACTCTGTGGATGGTATGGACTGGAAACCTTATGAGTTATTCCATGGTCCTTACAAAATTGTTCAAAAATATCAGACTTAAAGTTAGTACCATTGTCAGTTTGCACGACCCAAGGCAGTCCAAAAGTGGAAAAAATTGCAACATACGAGCAACAACCGTCTTTGCTCGGATGTTCCTTACAGCAAAAGCCTCTGGGTAACGAGTCGTGATACACATCATCGTGATTAGGTAAATATTACCAGACTTAGTTCTGGGTAATGGACCAACACAGTCCATTACCACATGAGAAAATGGTTCCTCCGGCACGACAATAGGCCTTAGAGGAGCTTTAGGTGGAGTCTGGTTTGGTTTCCCAACAAGTTGGCACACAATACATGCATTACAAAATTTTGCCACATCGCTTTTCAGCTTGGGCCAGAAAAAATACTTTAAGATTTTGTGATACGTAATATTAATACCTTGATGTCCCCCCATAGGATCATCATGAGCAGCTGCCAAAACTCTTTCTCTATAGCAGGTCGGCAACATAACCTGGTGGACTACCTCCCACTCATTTGACAAGGGAGCACTCTGTGGTCTCCATGCATTTTCTCATCAAAATCAGATCATTGTAGTAGTACCCAGTTGCTGCGTCTACAATTTCCTCCATAGAGACGGCTGCCTCATGACAATCTGCAAGACTGGGGTCAGCTTTCTGTAACTCACTCAAGGAGGCGTCCAGACGTTGGTCAGATGCCATTGGCCGAGGCTCAACAGTGTTCTCCTCCACCTCCCCACTACTCTCGGTAGGTGGCGGTGGCAGGCTCTCCACAATGTCCTCGGCCACGTCATCGAGTCGGGCCATGAATGTGTCCGCAAGGTCCACTTGGTTTTCACCACTCAGAAAGTTCCTCGTGTCCTCGGGATTTACCACCTTGGCAAGCACAGGGCTGCCCTTACATTTAAGTCCCATAAACCTGGTCACCACGCACGCAGGGTACACAACATTATCCTCTGCGGCGGGTGGATCCAAGCAAACCTTAGGGGTAGGCAACATAATAGGCAGTCTGGAGTCCCCTACCTTATCCCCTGCTAAATCATTACCAACTATTACATCAACATTAGGGAAAGGTAGGTATGAAGTGACTCGGACTGTACAAGCACCCTTGTGGAAATCTGATTCCAGGGTAACCTTTTGGAGGGGTACTGCTCGAGTATCACTAGTGACACCTCT